TCCTGGGAAACAGGAGAGATGGAGGTGCTCGCCTTTGTGCATCAATTAGTTGTTTACAATAGCAATGTATTTATATACAAGTTATGACATATAAGTATTTTAGGTTCAGCTAGGAGAATAAGCACATTGCAATAGGCAAAAAATAACTTTGAAAACAAATGGGGAGGGTGCAGTGGCACACACCTGTAATCCCAGCACTTTGGGAGGACAAGGTGGGAGGATTGTTTGAGGCCAAGAGTTTGAGACCAGCCTGGGCAACATAGCGAGACCTCGTCTCCATAAAAATTTAAACATTAGCTGGGTGTGGAGGTGGCGCCTGTAGTCCCAGCTACTTGGCAGACTGAGGTGGGAGGCTCTCTTGAGCCCAGGATTTTGAGGGTGCAGTGAGCTATGATGACACCACTGTACTTTAGCCTGGGGAATAGAGCAAGACCCTGACTCAAAAAAAAAAACAAAAAAAAAACAGGTTTACCATATTATCCAGCAATTCCACCCCTATATATACCAAAAAAAACTGAAAGCAGGGACTGAAACAGATACTTGCATGCCAGTGAGCATTTTTCACAATAGCCAAAGGTGGAAAGAATCCAAGTGTCCATCATCAATAGATGAATGGAAAAATAAAAATGTGGTCCATCCATACAACAGAACGTTACTTACCCATAAAAAGGAGTGACGTTCTGATACATGCTACAAGACAGACAAACCTTGAAAACATTAAGCTAAGTGAAATAAGCCAGACACAAAAAGACAAGTGTTACATGATTTCATGTATATGAAATATCAAGAATAGGCAAATTCATAGATAAAAAGTAGATTGGAGGTTACCAGAGTTGGGAAAAGGACAGGGACAGGGAATTAATGCTTAATGGTTATAGTGTTACTGCTTGGAAAGATGAAAAAGTTCTGAAATAGTGATGGTTGCCCATCTCTGTGAATGTAATTAACGCCAATGAAGCACTGATAAGAAGATCAGTAGGAAGGAGTGTACATGGTGAAAGTCCTGTGAGTACAGAGGTCCCCTCTCATCCACAGGGAAACATTCCAAGACCCGCAGTGGAGGCCTCAAAGGTTGGATACACATATACTTTGTTTTTTTGTATATAAAAATACCTATGATAAAGTTTAATTTACATAATAAATTAGAAACAGTAAGAGATTAACAACAGTAACTAGTAACCAAATAGAACAATTATACTATAATAAAAGTTTGTGAATATGGTCTCTCTCTCTCAAAATACCTCATTGTGTATTGTAATATTTTCCGACTGCAGTTGACCACGTATAACTGAAACTGAAGAAAGTGGAGGACTACTGTATATTTTGGCACAAAATTTTTATTTTCAAGGATTTAAAAAAAGGATATAATATAAATGTATGCACAAAAATATCCAAAAACAGAAAAATGGCCAAGTAAACAGGATAGGATGCCATGTGGCATTTAATAATCCCATCCTAGACTGTTTATTGATTTCATAAAATAGTGAAGATTACTACATGAAGAGTTTATCAAACAGTATATGCAGTATGATCTCATTTGTGTAAAAACAGTATGACTACATATTTGCAAAGTCCAAATATTTGACTACATATTTGCAAACACCAAAATATTCATAGTTGTTGTCATGGAGGGTAGAACTTCAGCGATTTTATATTCCCCCCAGTAGAGCTTTCTGGGTCGTCTCCCTACATTGACAGGCAATACTTCTATCATTAAAAAAAGTAATAAAATATGCCTTCTATTTTATACATTCCTATAAAACTTTTCCCATAAGAACATTCAGAAGAAATAATAAAGATATAAAGCTACCTACAACCAATGTATTATGCATACATTGAAAGTCACAATACAAACCCAATGATTAACAGTCATTATCTCTGGGGGACAGTGTTATGAAGGGGTTTCACTTTTTCAGTACTGTTTGAATGTTTACAGTGATCATGTAACATGACCAAACAAAACAAAAACAAAACCCAAAGACTCAAGTTTGAAAAGTTCTGTGGTTACAGAGCCACTCCAAAGCCTTTCAGATGAATCTGACTTCATGGGAACCACTCTCCCAGAATCTCTCAAATACAGCACCCTGTAGGGACCTGGAGCTTTTCACAAACAACTCCAAGTTATGAAACAAATAGTGCTACCCCAGCCTAAGTTAATAAGGATATTTGAGTACTTTTCTTACAGTATAGCAAATAACTGATGGATTTAAAAAAAAAAAAGGCTTTAAATTAGCAAAGTTTAAATTTAGGGTAACCAACGGCAAGTCAGGAGTACTCACATGATCAAAAAAATGCACCACCGCAAGCTTTTTGCTGCGCCTGGTAAAGATGCGCTGCACTTTAGCAATTTTGCTGAAGTGGTTCTCCAGAATGGTTCTGTCATTGAGATAGTCAGGGATGTTCTTGCACTGGATTGCTGTGACTTCGGTGGGACACAAGCCCCCAAGACTGTCTGTGCTCTCACTTCTTTTGCTCTGACGCACAGGAGTTCCTCTTAGAGAATCTAGGAGTTCAGAGAACAGACGCGTAAACCCATGAGATGTACTCTCTCAAATAACAGGAGGCACCAACTGTGCAAAAGCAAAGGAAATTTTCATGGATGTAAGACCTGCTCCAAGGTCCTATTATTATGTTAGGATCCCCAGTGTTTATCGGGGCTTTATCTGAAAAATCAAGCTAACGGCCAGAGAAACTTACTGAGAATCTGCCAGCAGGATTTACTCTATGTGGTACATTTTGAGAGCTCACCTTCTTTTTTATCTCTACTTGCAGTTTCTTCCTCTTTATTCACACCTGGAAGCCGGGAAGGTCCCAGGACAGACTGACTCCCTCCTGGAATGGCCATGTGGTCACTTTCCCCAGACTCGACAAAGCCAATTTCCTTTTTAGGTTCCTTGTTGCCCAAACGACCTACTTCTTTATTGCTTTTGAAAACATCCTGTATTGTCCGACCAAACAAAGTGCCAGTGCCTCCTCGGGGTCGATTCAGGCGGACGGGTCGTTTATCGGGAGGATGATCACCCCTGGACAGAGGGTCCAAATCTTCTGCTGTCTCGTGGCCATGTCTCCTCGGGGACCGATCCTGGTCCTCCTTCCTTTTCAGTCCTTTCATGAGGCTGGGAAGTTGCTCCATCTGGGAAATGCCTTCTTCACACCCTTGTCTGACATCTGTTTTGCTAACTGGGAAGGGTTCGCCCAACGCCCCAGAAGATGACATTGGGAAGCTACTGAAGCTACTATTAGAACTTCCAAATATCGACTTAGGTCCTCTCTTCTCTTCCTCTACATTTAGGTTTGGCAAAGCAGGAGTAAAGGCAGATGATGAATTATTACTATTAACTGGTTTTGAAAAAGTAAAATTTGAATTGGTAGCTGAACTACTTGTCACCGGAGGGAAAGAAAAAGGGGCCAGGCCTCCAGGTCCACTACTAACTGGGTGGGAAAATGTGAAAAACCCAGATGTAATCTGGCTCTGGGTTTTCTCTGGCTCAGATTCGGCCCCCAATATTGGTCTGAACACTGCATTTTCCAGAGGTTTAAAGCTGAATTCTGTTTTCCCAAAACCAGAGCTTGCTATTTCTCCAGCTTCTGGTCCAAAAGTAGAAGTACTTGGGAAAGCGGCAACATTGGTGGGTGATTTAAAACTAAATCCTGGGTTTCCAGACACAGATGAACTTGAAGGTCCAGAGGTAGCTACAAAGGTAGGAGTGTGTTCAAGTCCAGAAAAGAGTCCGGCACTTGAAGTTTGGGTGAATCCTGACGTTTGCACTGAAGAGGAATGACTTACTCCAGAAGTTGCTGGAAAGCTGGGTACCTGTGAAAATCCTGAGCTCTTCCCAGATAATGTATTGTTTTGTCCAAAAAGAGAAGGTTGACCAAATCGAAATGGTGGCTTAGGCTGAAATGATCCTATGGAACTACTAGAAGATGTTGGGAAAGCATTAGGCTGCTGCCCACTAAAAGGATTTGTTGGATTCATCTTCTGATCTAATTATTAAAAAGTAATAAATATTATCTGTACAAAATTAGTCTTCTTCCTTATGTTGCACTAGGGAGTTCCCTTCACCATCAAGATAAGCTGAAAGACAAAAATTCAGATCATCACAACTGTATTCTGCTAAAAGACTAAGAAACGAATTTTTGATCATGTCATACTCTAAAGATAATTACTTAAAAGGCAGCCAAAGCACTATTATTTTCTGAGAGCCAATAGGTTCTTTTGCTGGAGCGCAGAGTAGAGAGTGGTACAAACAATTACTTTGTTACAGATGATTAAAGTGTGATACTTTATGATTTTAAAAAAAATCCGAATCATTTTACCGAATTGAAAAATTCATGAAAAACCTCAATTACTAATTAAAAAAATGAATGTCATTATACCTTTCCATTTAAAGAGACGAATTTCTCTGACTTCTTCCACTCTCCATGGCCAGAGATTTACAATGTAACACTGTTAAAACATTAGTGCTCCAGTGTTTCCTCCCACCTAATTTTTCTCTCAGTACCCCGAGCACTCAGTACTTTTCCCAAGCACGGAAACAGTTTTTCATACCCTCCCTAGCGACCGCCCCAGGAACTCGCTCAAAGGACCGGCGCGTTCACGCGCAGACGCGGCCTCGGGGCGGGAGGGCCGCACAGAGGACGGGGGTCGTTCACCCGGCACAATCCGAAGGGTCTCGAAGGCCGCTGTCCGGTCCGGGCCGCGACGCAGCGAAAGGGAGCGCAGGGCTCCACGGAGAAGGCAGCAGTTGTCCGCGCCGGCTCCAGGCGCCGCTCACCGTCCGGCCGCAGCACACCGAGGCCCGCCGCCCGCCGCCACCGCGCTGGGTCCTCAGTGCCGAGATACAGGCGCAAGGAACAGGCCGCCGGAGCCAGCGATTCACTGCGCGCGGCGGGCGGAAAATAGCGTCGGACTGACTTCCGGTCCACGCCGCGCCGCCGGGTCCCACCCGGTCCCACTGCTTTCAGGTTCCGCTCTCCCGTTGGCGGCGGGACTTCTGGCGGGGCTTCCGGTGGGGTGGACCGCAGCTCTCGCGCCTCCGCCACGTCTTGGCCCAGGCTCCGCCGGCTTCACATAGCGGTACGTGCGTGGCGGCTTCCTCATGGAAATGAGGACGTCGTACTCAGCTGTGTGGGCCCGCGGAAAGCCCCCAGACCAAAGAAGATCCCATGCGCCGGCCCCTCTCACCCTCTTCTCTTCCTACCCCTCCCTCTCCAATACCTGTCCTCTCCCCTGCCCCCACCGTCCCATCCCCAAACCCACCCTCTCCCATCCCCCACTGCCTCATACCCCCATACCCGTCCTCTCCCCTTCCCCACCACCCCATCCTCCGTACCCGCCCTCTCCCCATACTCCTCCCTCCCCCATGCCTGTCCTCTTCCCTACCCCCACCCGGCAGTGGCACCCTATTCCTGGCTTGGTCCACCCACCCGCTTTCACTACAAGTGGCTCCTTCCCCTCCACTGGCCTTAATTTCCTTCTGGCTGTATGTTGATTCTGGTGTACCTGACTCTGTGGCTTCCTTTATATGCTCTCATTTTTATATCTTCCTTATGATAAATGTAAATTCTCTTAAGATTTTCAATAAATTCCACCAAATAAAGTGATTTGATTATGTGTGCATGTGTATTTTTATGGATTATATTATTTTCTAGTACTGATTGTCCTTCTCTTAAATTTTAACCGCAGGTTCTCTTGCAAACTTTTTTAAACAGCTGGCTGTTCTTCCTGAAATGAGTTTGGTGATTAGAAATCTGCAGCGAGTCATCCCCATCAGGAGAGTGCCCCTTCGCAAGAAGATTGAGATTGCAAGGAGTATTTTAGGAGTGCAGAAATTTGACCTTGCAATCATCTGTGTTGACAACAAGAATATTCAGCACCTTAATAGAATCTACAGAGAGAAAAATGTCCCAACTGATGTGCTTTCTTTTCCATTTCATGAGGTAAAAAATATGTTCCTTTTTTTTTTTTTTTTTTTTTGTCTAGCCTCCCTTCCAGAGTAAATTTCCTGTGTTAGGCCAGGCATGGTGGCTCAGCCTGTAATCCTAGCACTCTGGGAGGCCAAGGCGGAGGATCGCTCAAGGTCAGGAGTTTGAAACCAGCCTGAGCAAGAGCGAGACCCCATCTCTACTAAAAATAGAAAGAAATTAGGTGGACAACTAAAAATATATAGAAAAAATTAGCCGGGCATGGTGGTGCGTGCCTGTAGTCCCAGCTACTTGGGAGGCTGAGGCAGGAGGATCACTTGAGCCCAGGAGTTTGAGGTTCCTGTGAGGTAGGCTGACGCTATGGCACTTCAGGCCAGGCAACAGAGTGAGAGTCTATCCTAAAAAAAAAAAAAAAATTCTGTGTTAATTACAGATATTATTTTCTATTTTAATTTTGAAATTTTTCAAATATGCACAAAAGTAGAGCAGTATGTTAACCCCCCATTGAGCGATGCCCATCACCCAGGGGCCACAGTTCCACTGGTAAAGCTAACAGAAAGAGGAAAGTTAACTAGAGTCCAGCCTCACCCCTCTTAATGCTATCAGTGAATTAAAAGAGAAGTGAAGTGCTTCTGCAATTTTGTTATTCATTAATGAATTTGGATTGGAAAAATTAACCCTGAAAAGAACAGTCTGGGGTAAATAGTTTCCGCAGACAGGATGTGGTAGCTATCAGGTTACTGTCTACATTGTGTCAATTTTTCAAGGCTTCCCACTGTGAACTCAAATAAAATTTTAAGACTCACCCCCCCACCTGAGCAGACTAAACCGATCCCTCATGGCCAAAGGAATATGCTAAAACTAAAACGCCTGCCAAGGGAAAGGAAGACAGACTTGCCTTATCATGCCCCCCTCTCTTTTGGGGACATCCTTTGTAACCCATTAACAGGCCTAAGCATATGCAAGACAAACCTGTAAGTCCTCAATTTACACAACAAATGTATGTCCTGTGGCTTATCTCTGACAACAACTCCTTATGTTGAAATATTCTAAGCCTTTAGACAAAGCTTCAGGCCTTTAACCAATTAATAAGCCAAAGAATCTTTAAACCCACCTGTAACCTATAAGCCCCCCCCTTCAAGATGTCCCACCTTTTGGGGCCAAGCCAATGTATGCCTCCCACGTATTGATTTATAACTTTACCTATAACCACTGTCCCCCTGAAATGTATAAAATCAAACTGTAACCCAGCCACATTGAGTACACTTGTTCGAGGCTTCTTGGGAGTGGCTCCAGGTCATGGTCCTCAAATTTGGCTCAGAATAAACTTCTTTCAAATATTTCAGAGTTTGGATTTTTCCGTCCACACCACACTGTCAGTAGCAGCATAAATTGGAGCAGACCTTTTGAAAAGCAATTTGTCAATAAATTTCAAGAGCCTTTAAACAGGATATTCTTTAATCTGCTAGTGTCACACCTGAGAAAATAAAAGACTGAAGAGATAAAATGCTGGCAGGCTGTGGCTCACACCTGTAATCCCAGCACTCTGGGAGGCCAAACCAGGAGGATCCCGTGAGCTCAGGAGTTTGACACCAACTGAGCAAGAGGGAGACCCCATCTCTACAAAAAATACAAAAATTAGCCCAGCATGGTGGCGCATGCCTATAGTCCCAGCTACTCGGGAGGCTGAGGCAGGAGGATCACTTGAGCCAAGGAGTCTGAGGTCGCTGTGAGCTCTGATGACACCACGGCACTCTAGCCTGGTGACAGAGTGAGACTCTGTCCTAAAAAAAAAAAAAAAAGATAAAATGCTGAATGTATAATGTAAAAATATATTAAAATGTTCACTTACTGTTTTCTGTAATAGGACCAAAAATATCCAACCACAGGGAAAGGCAACTGGCTTTAGTGTAAATAGCCCTCCACTAAGTGGACTGGTCTTTATAGTCTTTATGCAGGAAAATGTAAAAAGACTATTTAGGACAAAATATCAAGCAGAAAGAACAGAAATATAAAATTGTGTCCTTGTAGAAGTTGTGGATCGGTGGGATTCTGCATTATGAGGGATGAAAGAAATGGAAAGTAACTCATTTGACAAGGTCCTGTCAACCTAAATAACAAAGAGAGAGGCTCTCTAAAAGAAAATTATGTTTGTTTGGGATGGTGCGTTGCAGTGAAAATATGTGCCATAGTAAACTAGTGCATGCTTCAGAAGGTAAAGGAAGACCAAGGTTTTTAGAGGAAAATTGAGACGGATTACATAATTGTTTAGAGGAATTATCCTTGTCTACAAAGATCAGTGTCAGTGTGAGATGGCACAGGCAGCTGTTGGGCAGGTGTCTTGCAGAAGTATGTTTGTGTGAGGGTGTGATGGCCTTTGTGTAGGTTGTGGCTTTTGCAGAGTCTTTGAGATAGTTTGCTGTAAGGCGCATAAGCATGAGAACCCTCTCTCTCTTTTTTTTTTTTTTTTTTTTGAGACAGAGTCTCACTTTATTGCCCAGGCTAGAGTGAGTGCCGTGGCATCAGCCTAGCTCACAGCAACCTCAATCTCCTGGGCTCAAGCAATCCTGCTGCCTCAGCCTCCCGAGCAGCTGGGACTACAGGCATGCGCCACCATGCCCGGCTAATTTTTTCTATATATTAGTTGGCCAATTAATTTGTTTCTATTTATAGTCGAGACAGGGTCTCACTCTTGCTCAGGCTGGTCTCGAACTCCTTACCTCGAGCAATCCACCCACCTCGGCCTTCCAGAGTGCTAGGATTACAGGCGTGAGCCACCGAGCCCGGCCGAGAATCCTCTCTTTATAGCCTTTCCCAGCTGTATTTGTCAGGGTTTCTTTTTAGCACTAGTGGCTCCGTTTTGATTCTGACCACTGTCACAGTGGAAACATTTAGGTCACGTGTGTAAGGTAGCTGTGCAGTCCACCCCCACAGGCCCACACTGCTATCCCAGCCTTGGACTTGCAGCTTGAGAGCGATGTGGTCAGAGAGCAGGTGCTTGTGTGCCTCGGGCCCAGCGAGCCAGAGTCTCCAGGGCGAACTCAACTGCATCCGCCTGTGGTTGTGTTACCGCCCAGCCGGACCCTTTGCACAGAGGACGACACCAGTACCCTGAAACAGCACGGTCTCAGCACAGAAAGAGTTTAACATCACAGGGTACTGAGCGGGGAAATTCTCAAGAGAATTTCTCAAGTCTGTCTCCCTGAGAATTTGGGGGCCAGGGTTTTTAAAGTAAGTTTGGCAGACAGAGCGCTGGGGATGAACACACAGGTTGGGAAGCAGAAGTTGTCTTCTTGGGCTGAGTCAGTTTCTAGACAGCGGGTTGTAGGACCTGTTGCGTCAGTCCCCATGCACAGCCAGTGGTCTGCTTGGTGACAGTTGGTCGCCCCCTCCAAATGCACAGTCTGAAGATATCTCAAAGACCAGCCTTAGGTTTGATGATAGCAATGTCATTTATAGAAGTGATCAGGGAAGTCACAAATCTTATGCCAGTCAGGGATACGTGACGCCTCAGTAGCAGTAAGCAAGTACAGGGAGGCAGGGTGGGGACAGGGCTGGCCGACTCGGCTGCGCCTGCACCACTGCAGAGATCAGACCCCACCACCGTTCTTGCTCCTGGCCCTGCGCCACCTTCATGTGTGCGGTTTCAGCTGGGTCACCGTTCCTGAGGTGGTGTTCTCTAAGTCTGGTTTTCTTCATTTTTAGAATCTGAAAGCCGGTGAATTCCCACAGCCTGCTTTTCCCGATGACTATAATTTGGGAGACATTTTCCTGGGAGTGGAGTACATCTTCCAGCAGTGCAAAGAAGATGAAGATTACAACGACATCCTGACCGTAAGTGGGGACACAAAATCGCATATCCTGGCTAAGGAGGCACGGGCTGCACTAGGGCTATAGGTTCCGGGGGTCACTGGAAAGAACCTACAGACAGGGGCACACAAGCCGGGTGGGGTCAGCATGGCCTGTGACAGTGCTGGGAAGGAGTGGACACACCCTGGAAACAAAGAAACCCTGGGGGAGCCTTCTCAGCCTTGCATAGGAGCAGGCTGTGCCGCTGAGACCCGCCAGGTCAGCTTCTCCCTGAGCCGCCCCGGAGGGGGGTGGGGTCAGAGACTCCAGGACCTTCCAGATGTTTCTCCTCAGCCTCATGCAAAAAATAAAAAGCAACATGTGACTGGCTCATGTCTGCCTTGCCTTCGGATTCACTGAGCGCCTTCCTGTGGTTGAACGGCTGCCCCTGCCTCATCCTTGGGGACGCCAGTGCTCCCGTGTGACTTGGAGCTTCCCAGCTGGACAGCACGAGAGGGCACGACCTCAGCCAAGGCCCCCTCGTCCTGCCAAGGCGGTGGCCCAGCCAGGATCAGCCCTGGGATCTCTGGGGAGTGGGGACGTGGATGGCTCCCTGGGCTGTCCCTGTGAGCTCCCCGTCACCCTGAGGGGGGCCAGCCCAGCACCCCAGGACCGGCTGCCTTGCAGCTGCGCCTTCCATCTTGCCTTCCCCTTCTCAGCCTCCATGCCCCACTGGGCCTCACACCAGCCCCAGGCACATCCCAGCTGGGCCACCTCCTTCCTTCACCCCATCCCAGGGGAGACGTTCAGCTTGCTACAGTGACAGTCCCCGGTCTACCTCTCAATCCCTGAACCCCACCCTCATGGGGTGGCCTCTGGCAGGCCGGGGCCACCTCCGGTCTCCAGGGCTCCTGCTCAGAGGAGCACTCCAGACCTGTCGGTTGACAGGCCTTCCCTCCGCTTCCCTCTCCAACTCCAGAGAGGCATCCCTGACTCAGCACAGCTCGGGTGACTGCGTCCTGCGCCTTACCAAGAGCACCCGTGACACTGGGCTGAGTCCTGAAGGGACAGCGTCCTGTCGGATCGTCCCTAGCCAGTACTTTATTCTGACAGGTGACTGCCACCCACGGACTGTGTCACCTGCTGGGCTTCACACACAGCACGGAGGCAGACTGGCAGAAGGTAGGAGCCCGACCACCTTCCCACCCGAGCGGGTGTGTCTGGGTGGAAGCCCCAGCCTCTGCCCAGCCTAGACCTGAGCGCCCCAGGCAAAGACCAAGGCTCACGTCCTGCCCTTTGTGAAAGGCTCACAGAGGTTTGTTTCAGACGTCAGCCCAGCTCCCCGACACCGCTTAGCTGTGCTGTGTGTTCACGATTGGTCGGAAGGCCTGAGCACCAGCACTTGATGTTTGGTCAAAAAGCTTAACGGGCCGGGTGCGGTGGCTCACACCTGTAATCCTAGCACTCTGGGAGGCCGAGGCGGGCGGATTGCTTGAGGTCAGGAGTTCAAAACCAGCCTGAGCAAGAGCAAGACCCCGTCTCTACTATAAATAGAAAGAAATTAATTGGCCAACTAACCACTAATTTATATATATAAAAAATTAGCCGGGCATGGTGGCACATGCCTGTAATCCCAGCTACTCGGGAGGCTGAGGCAGGAGGATTGCTTGAGCCCAGGAGTTTGAGGTTGCTGTGAGCTAGGCTGACGCCACGGCACTCACTCTAGCCTGGGCAACAAAGTGAGACTCTGTCTCAAAAAATAAAATAAAATAAAAGCTTAACGTTTAGAAAATCTTCACAAAAGATTTTCTCTCCAGGGGCCCTCCCTGCCTGCGGGCGGCGCACTGCGCGCAGGTGCTGCTCTGAGGTGGACAGAACCAGGTCCCCCCTGAAGGAGCAGCGCCCCCTGGTGGAGGTGCGGAGGTGCTTCTTGGGGAGCCGGCCCGAGGGCGGGGTGCGCTGGCTCCGGGCCAGGCCCAGCGCTTCCTCCTCCCCCCAGATGCACCAGAAGGAGAAGCTGGTGTTGGACGAGCTGAACCGACGCACGGGAACCAGGCTCCAGCCCCTGAGCAGGGGCCTCTTCTGATGCCCAAGGCTTCGGACCGGAGGACAGGGTGGGGACGGACCCCTCCCCTCTGGGTCCCAGCTGGAAGCTCAGCTGGCCGCCGCTGTCCCATGGGCTGCGGAGGCACCAGCGACGTCGGGGCTGCACCCGAGTGGAGCACTGAGGCACAGCAGAAATGCCCATTCCTTTCTCTGGGCGGACACGTCAGATGCTTTTAAAGCTCTAGAATTGAGAGACATAAACCTCATTCTCTTCTCTGGGCGTCTCCTGATCTTTCCTCAGAATTCCAGTGCTCTGGTAAAGAGGCACTTCTCGCCCACCTCTGCAGCCGGCTTGGATCCGCAGGAGGGGCTGCCCTGCTGGGGCCCCATCCAGGCCCCAGGGAGCTCTTTAATCTTGAGCCTCCAGTCCAGTGTCAAGGCCCAGGCGGCCCAGCCAGAGACCAGGCCGTCCAAAGACCATCAACTCTTGCCACATTTCTTCCCTCTATTAAATAAATAATTATGTTGAGAAATAGAACTAAAGAGAAAAGCCATGTTAAAAAAATCAGTGTGAAAATAGGATATGGTGTCAGACCTTTAATTCATGCTTTTGTAACAAGAGCATCACGGTCTCTGGAATCACATCCAAGAGTGCACAGAAAGATGGTTCTGAGAGAGGCAGAGGTCAGCACTGCAGCTCCGCCGGGTTCAGGCAGAGCTCAGACCTGTCAGTCCAGGTGGGATCAGTTGTCCCCCCCGCAGGAGCTCGCCAGAGGGGACCGGACTCCAGCGAGTGGCTGAACAGTGGCAACATCTTGCCTCCCACCTGCAAGGTTCCAAGGATACAAAGGTAGAAACAGGGGCCTGCTTGTGAGAATCTTAGGGAATCTCAGTAGGAGGGAATGAAAACTTACGCATGACACTTAAAAATAATATTTAAATAAAAATAACATTAAAAAGTAAGGGGTCTAGGCCAGGTGCCGTGGCTCATGCCTGTAATCCTAGCTCTCTGGGAGGCTGAGGCAGGAGAATGGCTCAAGGTCAGGAGTTCCAAACCAGCCTGAGCAAGAGCGAGACTCCATCTCTACTATAAATAGAAAGAAATTAATTGACCAACTAAAAATATATGTAGAAAAAATTAGCTGGGCACAGTGGCACATGCCTGTAGTCCCAGCTACTCAGGAGGCCGAGGCAGCAGGATCGCCTGAGCCCAAGAGTTTGAGGTTGCTGTGAACTAGGCTGATATCGCTGCACTCACTCTAGCCAGGGCAACAAAGTGAGACTCTGTCTCAAAAATAAAAATAAAAAAAGCAAGGGGTCCGGAGCACAGCTCATGCCTGTGATCCCAGCACTTTGGGAGGCCAGGGTGGGAGGGTCCCTTGAGCCCCGGAGGTGCAGACCAGCCTGGGCAACATAATGAGACCCCATCTCTACAGAAATTTTTAAAAATTTAGCTGGGTGTGGTGGTGCGCCAGTAGTCCCAGCCACTAGGACTGGAGGCAGAAGGGTCCCTTGAGCCCCGGGATTGAAGGCTGCAGTGAGCTGTGATGTCTCCACCACGCTCCGGCCTGGGCAACAGAGCCAGACCCTGTCTATAAAAAATAAAAGTAAAACAGCAAAGGAACATAAACCCAGCCTTCAAAAAAAAGAAAAGTAACAAAAATAAGCCCTGACAGGCGGGAGGGAACATGCTGGGGAGACGGAAGCGCCTTCCCCCTGGTCCGCTGGAGGGTGAGTTCCAGGAAGGGAACGTTGGGCAGGTGTAGTCCACACGTGCGCACGCGCACAAACGCGCGCACACAGCCCGCTGCCCGGTCCTACGCGTGCGAGGACAGGCCCCCAGCTTACCTGACCTTGTGTTTGGTGCCGCTCATGGGGACTGGGGGTGTCTGCACTTTGTGTGGCTAAAGCTACTGATCTTTTCTATTACGGCTCCTGGGCCGTTTCTCTTAAATTCTTCCTTGACGAAGTCTCTGTGTTTCACAAGTTGGGCAGAGCCTGGCCCCACCGCGAGGCATTTCCCAGTTCCCGCCGGCCCGGTGCGGACCGAAGGGAAGACTCCGCCTTACCCGGCGGGCACCGGCAGGACGCGGCCGCTAGGAGAGGCCGAGGGGTCTCCCCCACGCGGCGTTGGGACTGAGGCCGCGACGTTCGGGGGACGCGGGGTCTCTCGGGACTCCGCAGGCCCTGCCCGCGCCCTCCCGCCCGCGCCCCCGGGGCTGGGGTCCCCCCGACCTACGCGCTCAGGCGTGGCGGTGCTGGTGCCGGTGCCGGTGCCGGAGTCGGTGCTGTCGGGGCGCGGCGGGCGGCCTCGGCCTCGCGGCCTGCGGGACGGCAGGTGGAGCCCACTGCGGTCGGGCGCGAGCTCGCGGCTGAGGACCGCCCGGGGGACCCCCGGGACGCCCCACCCTCCCTGGCACGCTCCAGCCCCGCCCAGCACCCCCTCCGGGAATCCGCCCTGCGCCGGTCCGACCCGGGGTCCCAGTGCCCGGAGGGCAGGGGCTGCACCGCTACAGGAGGCAGCTTCCCGCCTATTGCGCCGCGCCTTCCCCGTCTGGGGCGGGGCTGGCGGGCGCAGGGGCTTCACCGCCGGACCACAGACAGCCAGGAATGGCCTTGCAGGGTTACTCACGCAGAAATTCCCAGGTCCCCTGGTCGGAGCCTGCGGCGCGCCTGCCTGGGGGGCGGGGCGGGGCAGGGCCTGCAGCAGGAGGCTGTGCGTCAGGATCTGGTGCGCCTGGGCGCTCTGCAGCAGCAGCAGGTCCACCATGTCTGGAAGGAGAGGGGCGAGCGACAGCTCCGCCGTGACAGCTCTAGTGTGTCACACGCGTGAGAGAGACGGTGCCTCACGAGCACCGGAGGACACGCTGGCACACCCGTGTGTGCGCGCGGGGCCTCGGGGCCTGTGGCGAGTTCGGCCTTCCCGCTAAGTGCCCCTGGGCTGCACGGTGACCCCAGAAAGGTGTGTCCCTGTCTCAGTCCCCAAGATCCCAGAGTTCGGCCTTATTTGGAAAAAGGTCTTTGCAGATGTAACCAAGGATCTGGAAAGGAGGAGGCCGTCCTGGGTTCTCCAGGTCGGCCCTGACGCAGTGAGATGTCTCTGTGAGGCAGGAGCGTGAGGCGGAAGAGGACACACAGGGAAGAAGCCCCCTGAGGAAAGGGGGGAGCAGTAGCCTCCTCCAAGAACACCTGGAGCCCAGGTGGAGCACAGCCCTGCCGGCACCTGATCTTGGACTCGGACCTCAGAATTATGAGGAAATAAATTCTTGGTTTTTTTTTTTTTTTGAGAGAGTCTCACTGACCTCCTGACCTCGAGCAATCTGCCCGCCTCGACCTCCCAGAGTGCTGGGATTACAGGCGTGAGCCACCACACCTGGCCAATTCTTGTTGTTTTAAAGCCCCCAGTTCATGGTACTTTGTCACAGCAGCCACAGGAAGCTAACACACTCAGGTACCCTGACACATTGTAACATGTGTCAACGGTTCTTTCCACAGCAGCCAGACCCTGGAAATCACAGTCCTGCTGGGTAAACCCAACAGATCTATTCTGTATGTAACACTGCCACATGTGGTGGGGCAACAGTAATTCCCCACGCGTGTCCTGGCGCTGGGATAGACAGATCACTGGGACAGAACTGGGAACACCTCTCAGATGACTCAGCCATTCTACACACAGGTCTGTCCCTAGACTCCCAGCACCCTCACTCATTATGGGAATGCAAATTAAAACCACAATGAGCTACCACTACATCCCTATTACAGTGGCTAAAATTAAAAAGCCTGACCATACCAAGTGTCATGAGGTTATAGAGTAACTGGAACTCTCAAACACTGCTGGTGAGGGCATAAAATGGTATAGACGATAGGAAACAGGTTGGCAGTTTCATAAAAGCTAGATATACATCTGCCATGTGATTCAGACATTACACTCATAGATACTTACTCAAAGAGAAATAAAAGCATACGTCCAAAGAAAGACACATGCATGAATATCTACAGCAGCTTTTTCCGTAATAACCAAAAACTGAAAGCAACCCAAATGCCCACTGCTGTGGTTTGAATGCCCCTCCAAAACTCATGTTGAATCCTAATCCCAGTGCGTCAGTATTGAAAGGAGGATCCTTTAAGAGGAGATTGGAGTAGATTAATCCACTCATGAATTGGTGGGTTAGTGTTGTGATGGATTAATACGTCATGGGCAGGGGAACCCGTGGCTTTGTAAGAGGAAGACAGACCTGAGCTGGCATGTCAGCACACTCAACCCCCCACCCCCACCGGGTGCCCTGCGCCACCTTTTTTTTTTTTTTTTTGACAGAGTCTTGCTCTGTAGCCCAGGCTAGAGTGCCGTGGCATCAGCCTAGCTCACAGCAACCTCAAACTCCTGGGCTCCAGCGATCCTTCTGCCTCAGCCTCCCAAGTAGCTGGGACTATAGGCATGGTGCCTGGCTAATTTTTTCTATATATATTAGTTGGCCAATTAATTTCTTTCCATTTTTAGTAGAGCCGGGGTCTCGCTCTTGCTCAGAGCTGGTTTCGAACTCCTGACCTTGAGCAATCCTCCTGCCTCGGCCTCCCAGAGTGCTAGGATCACAGGCGTGAGCCATCGCGCCCGGCCCCTGTGTCACCTTGCACTCTGCAGTCCCCACCAGCAAGAAGCCCACACCGGACGTGGACCCTCAGCCTGGGACTTCTTCCCAGATTCCATAAATGCAAGGAATAAACTCCTTCTCAACATAAATTACCCAGTTTCAGGCATTCTGTCAAAAGCAACACAAAATGAACTTGAGACATCCATCAAGAGGTGAATGGACAACAAACTAAGATGCCCACACGATGGAACATGGCTAGGCAGCCGGAAGGATCCAGCTGATACACCTGCAACAGTGACAGCCCTGAAAACAGTCACGCGAGTGGAAGAAGCCATACCAAAAAAGAGTGTGTTCTGTGTAATGCCATTTGTACAAAAATCTAGAAAATGCACACTAATACATGGCAACAGAAGGCTACTCAGCAGTTGCATGAGGGGGTCAGCAAGGAGGGAATAGAAAGGAACATGAGGGAACTTTGGGGGTGATGGAGATGTTCTCTCTCTTGATTGTAGTGATGGTTTCACAGATATGAATATATGTTAAAACTTCTCAAATTGTACACTTTAAATATGGGCACCTAAATTCTGTCACTTCAATAAAACTGTTTTAAAAATCAAGTATTTAAGAGTTATTTTTTAGTTTTTATTTTTTGAGACAGGGTCTCACCTCATTGCCAGGAATAAAGTGCAATGGCGTCATCACAGCTCACTGCAGCCTTGAACTCCTGGGCTCAAGCAATCCTCCTGCCTCAGCCTCCTGAGCAGCTGGGACTACAGGCAAGCGCCACCACGCCCAGCTAATTTTGCTATTTTTTTGTAGAGATGGGGTCTTACTATGTTCCTCAGGCTGGTCTCAAACTCCTGGCCAAAGTGTTGGGATTACAGGTGTGAACCACTGTACCCAGCTTAAAAGTTATTTTAAAAGAAGCAGTTTTGGTGGACGGGGTGGCTCATGCCTGTATTCCTACCACTTTGGGAGGCCGAGGCGGGAGGATTGCTTGAGGTCAGGAGTTTGAGACCAGCCTGAGCAAGAGCGAGACCCCATCTCTACTAAAAAATAGAAAAAAAAAATAGCTGGGCAACTAAACATAGAAAAAATTAGCCGGGCATGGTGGCGCATGCCTTTAGTCCCAGCTACTCAGGAGGCTGACACAGGAGGGTCGCTTGAGCCCAGGAGTTGGAGGTTGCTGTGAACTAAGCCGATGCCACAGCACTCTACCCCAGGCAACAGAGTGAGACTCTGTCTCAAAAAAATTTAAAAAAAGAAAGAAAGAAAAAGAAAAAGAGAAAAGAAGCAGTTTAATCACAGCTTTTGTATAGCTAATAATTGGAAGAGTTGGAATTGGAGCTCAATTCTTTCAAGTCCTAGTCTAGTCCTCTTCCTTATACCTTGTTTTCTTCCCTCAGAGCTATCCATCACATAAGAATCTCTTGAAGTTATTTTTGTGTTGAATAGCTAAAAGCTGACGCTAAATAACTATTCTGCTTACAGAAATATTTTCCCTTTCAGTAGAAAATTTCATGCACCCATAACAACATTAATATGGAACACTTACCTTCCTTAAAGGTTCCTGACCTTGGAGTAGGGAAGGCCTGGGGAGGAGGAATCTGTGCTATGAGCGGCTGCTGAGGCAACTGATGAATGATGGTGGCCGGAGGCTGTGGGACCTGGGAAGAGCCAGGTGATTAGCTGCCTGAATGCGTCCTCAGAGAATGCGTTCTACAGTGTTTGCCCACTCACCCATCCACCCACCCATCCACTCATCCATCTATCCATTCGTCTACCTGTCCACCCATCCAGACACCCAGCCATCCATCCACCCATCTATCTACTTATCCAGTCACCCTTCCATCTATCCATCCATCCCCCTATCCAACCATCCATCCATCCACTTATCCAACCATCCATCCATGCCCCTATCCAACCATCCATCCATGCCCCTATCCAACCATCCATCCATCCATCCACTTATCCAACCATCCATCCATCCCTCTATCTAACCATCCATCCATCCATCCCCCTATTCAACCATCCATCCATCCATCCATCCATCCCCCTATCTAACCATCCATCCATTCATCCATCCATCCCCCTATCTAACCATCCATCCATCCACTTATCCAACCATCCATCCATCCCTCTATCTAACCATCCATCCATCCCCCTATCCAACCATCCATCCATCCATCCATCCACTTATCCAACCATCCATCCATCCCCCTATCTAACCATCCATCCATCCATCCCCCTATTCAACCATCCATCCGTCCATCCACTTATCCAACCATCCATCCATGCCCCTATCTAACCATCCATCCATCCATCCATCCATCCATCCCCCTATCCAACCATCCATCCATCCATCCATCCATCCATCCATCCCCCTATCTAACCATCCATCCATCCACTTATCCAACCATCCATCCATCCCCCTATCTAACCATCCATCCATCCACTTGTCCAACCATCCATCCATGCCCCTATCTAACCATCCATCCATCCACTTATCCAACCATCCATCCATGCCCCTATCCAACCATCCATCCATCCTGCCATCCATCCCCCTATCCAACCATCCATCCATCCACTTATCCAACCATCCATCCATCCATCCCCCTATCTAACCATCCATCCATCCACTTATCCAACCATTCATCCATGCCCCTATCCAACCATCCATCCATCCTTCCATTCATCCATCTACCCAACCATCCATCCAACCATCCATCCATCCATCCATCCATCCATCCATCCATCCATCCATCCACCTGTCCAACTATGCATCCATCCACCCATCTATCCATCCACCCATCCACCTATTCAACCATCCATCCATCTATGCATCCAAGGAGAACTTTAAATTATTAACCCCAGAGGTTAAATACAAAGATATTTGAGTTTGGTATCACTTAAGACATGGTATTAATATTTCTACTGTTTCCCACATTTCCTATCTTCATCAGAGTAAGCGAATGCTTGGTTTCATTAATCCAGCTTTAATGGAGGCATCCAACACTTGGTATGGTCAGTCCTTTTTTTCATGTCAGATGGGTAATGTGCCAGTGTTGGCCGTGACAAGGTTTGGGGGAGGCACATCTCACACATGCACGTGAACATCATGCTTATGAACTAGAACTAGAAAAGGATCAATCTTTTTGATTTTAACCATTTTAATAGAGAGATAGTAGTAGCTCATTGTGGATTTTTTTTTTTTTTTTTGAGACAGAGTCTCACTCTGTTGCCCGGGCTAGAGTGCCGTGGCGTCAGCCTTGCTCACAGCAACCTCAGACTCCTGGGCTCAAGCAATCCTCCTGCTTCAGCCTCCAGAGTAGCTGGGACTACAGGCATGTGCCACCACGCCCGGCTAATTTTTTCTATATATTTTTAGTTGGCCAATTAATTTCGTTCTTTTTTTAGTAGAGACGGGGGTCTCGCTCTTGCTCAGGCTGGTTTTGAACTCCTGACCTTGAGCAATCCTCACGTCTCAGCCTCCCAGAGTGCTAGGATCACAGGCGTGAGCCACTGCGCCTGGCCGATTATAAAATTTTGAAAAAGAGTTGACACACTCCCCAAATTCAGGGCCTCTGGTTGCACTAACACTCCTACTCCTGGGACCAGGGGTGGAGGCCAGGGAGGCTGAGAGGAGAGGCCCAACTGCCCATCAGGCCCATGAGGACAGAGAGGACCCACAACAGATCAGGCACTGCAAATGCAGCCGTCGGCGGCCTCAGCAGACTGACCCCCTCAAAGCACTTCCACATGCTGCTGGGGTTGGCTGAGAGGACAGAGGTGGGGTGACCGACAGACACTCTCTCCAACTAGGCCACATACCCCTCTGTAGGACAGCGCCTTGCAAAGTCTCAGCTCTGTCCCTCCTGCCCCACTGCACAATGCTCCGCCCACCTTCACTCCCTTACCGGGTGCTGGATGATCCGAGGTGGCTCTGGGGCCAGTGGAGGTGGGGAGGTGACGACGGGGTAGGCGTGGGGCACCTCTGGGGGCAGAGCTGGCCCTCGGGCTCCTCCGTGCAGCTCCCTCCAGGAGTGGGCCTGGGCGAGCTCATCCAGGAGGTGCTGCTCCTGCAGGGGACGCAGAACCCGCTGCATGGGGTGGGGCAGAGCCCAGCTGGAGCCTCCTTGGGCTCCCTCTCCCCAGCCTGGGCACAGGGAGCCTAGGGCTGCCCCAACCTCAGCCCAGCTGGAGCCTCCTTGGGCTCCCTCTCCCCAGCCTGGGCACAGGGAGCCTGGGGCTGCCCCAACCTCAGCCCAGCTGGAGCCTCCTTGGGCTCCCTCTCCCCAGCCTGGGCATAGGGAGCCTGGGGCTGCTCCAGCCTCAGCCCAGCTGGGAGCCAGGATGCCGGAAAGTGAAGCCCAAGGACTCCTCATGTGGTGCACACAGGAGAGTTTTGCTCCTTTTAGAATTTACCAAATAGGCCAGGCATGGTGGGTCACCCCTGTAATTTACCAAATAGGCCAGGCATGGTGGCTCACCCCTGTAATCCTAGCTCTCTGGGAGACCGAGGCGGGAGGATCGCTAGAGATCAGGTGTTCAAAAACAGCCTGAGCAAGAGTGAGACCCGCCTCTACTAAAAAATAGAAAGAAATTAATTGGACAACTAATATATATAGAAAAAATTAGTCGGGCATGGTGGCACATGCCTGTAGTCCCAGCTACTGAGGGGGCTGAGGCAGGAGGATTGCTTGAGCCCAGGAGATTGAGGTAGCTGTGAGCTAGGCTGATGCCATGGCACTCTAGCCTGGGCAACAGAGTGAGACTGTGTCTCAAAAAACAAAAATTTACCAAATAATTTTAACTATTTTAACTAATATACCAAATGATTTTAACTATAATTTTAATTTTCTGGTCATTTTCTTTTCCTGGCCAACAGAGTGCATCTTCTCAAGCACAGCTCAGGCCTCCAGGAAAGGCAGCTCCCCCTCCCCCACTGCTGCTTGCCTGCTGTGGTCGTCCCCTGCAGCTGGGGGGTTGAGCCTTTGGGAGCCCTGGGCACCCTAGTGTTCCTTCTCCCTCCAGAACTGGGCCCTTGCTCAACGCTTCCACCTTTGGTCAGAGTAACCCTGGCAGGTCTCTAAACTAGCGGTGCTCTTGTCGGGGTCTGGCGTGTGCACGCTTCAGGAGGCCAGGCATAAGGGCTGCTAGCTGCTCACCAGTCGTCCCTCACCGGTCTGCCAGTTGCAGACGTTAGAGAACCGGGACCAAGAATCCACAAGACCCCTGCCCGCCCCCTGCGCCTGTGGCCGGGCCAGAGTCTCAGCCACAGGAGCCTGGCCAGGCCTACCCGGAGCCTCTGCAGAAGGTCCTTCCTCCTCCTCAGAGCTCTGCGCAGGGCGTCCTCCGGCCCGTCCTGCTCTCCTGGAGGGAAGCACACACTGCGCACTGAGGGACGCACTCAGGAGGACGTCACCGTCACCACAGACCTGTCAGACTGCCCCAACCTCACCCACACTCCTGGGCACCGGGGGTGACCTGGGAGCAAACACTTATCCCACAGGAGAGACCAGAGCCTGGGGGCGGGGGAGGGGCAGCAGCGGGGTGGAGGGTAATCAGGGCACTCGGTCTGTTCCTTCCCGGAAAGGAGCTGGAAGTCACATGGTGCAGATTCGTCCAGGACCAACCCCCCGCATTGCTCTGCACACCATGGTGCAAAGTCCGGGAAGCAGGAGCCCTAAGGTGGGCACAGCCTGGCTTCGCTGGCCCCGAGCCGTCTGGAGACTGGTGTGACTGCCAAGCGCCTCCACTTCTCCAGGAAGGGGTCTGCACTCCCGAGAAGGCTCTGGAAGGGGTCAGGTCAGCCCCAGGCCAGGGCTCTGGCCTCCTTCTTCACCCTGGGCACAGCAGCCCTGTCCCCTCCCCGCATCACAGTGTAGCCGGGTGCTGGGACCTCAAACAGCTGGTCCCCGGGGCTGCCGGGAATCTGGTCCCCACTGGCACGTTTGCAGCCATCTTGTCTGCTCACTCCCGCCCCTCAGTCAGGGGACCTGGTTTGGGATTTCCTCTCTGGATTTGGGACCCTCGGCTCTGCCGGCTGCTCTTGGGAGGTGCCTGGAGCCCCTACGGCCCAAGGGCTGCCCCATGTTTCTCGAAGAACAAGAAATGCTCCTCTGGGCCTCCCTAGCTGCCCCCACCTGTGCCCAGGGCAAGCTCAGTGCAACCTGGGTGTGACCACTTCTGAGCTGAGCAACCTGGGGCAGGTTACCTAACCTCTTTGTGCCTCCATTTCCCCATCCACAGTGCGCGTGATGAGGTTTACAGGCTAACGGGGGTAAGGTGGGGGGATGCTCCGAGGGTGGAAACAAAGGCCGTTCAGCTCCGATGCAAAGGAAGCAAAGGAAGCACTTGGAGGGCAGGCTTGCTGTCCCCAGGGGGCGATTCCCAGGGCCTGTCTGCTGCCTCCCCTTGGAGGGGCTGCCCTCATGCCTGTGCCCCCCACCCCACAGCTCTCACCTGGCAGGAGGTGGGGGCCCTCAGAGTCCCCATCCACGTTCTCTCGTTCCTGCTCCAGCTTCTGTGAGGAACAGAGTGGGTGATGGGGACAGAGGCTCCATGTGAGTGGGGAATGCGCCCCTCTCTGGGAACAACCAAGTGGCTTCCCATGCGGCCAGCACCCCAGACGCAAGTGCTGGGAGCAGGAAGTGCTGTGTGAGGGTGCCATGGACGGGATGCAAGGGCCACTGGTGTCCTCCTGGGGACTGCGTTGGTCATGCATTCAATGCAGTGCATGGGACGGATGCTCTCATTGGCCCCTCAGGCAGATTTCTGGGGAACAGCCGCAGAGGAAACCGTCTAGGTGAGGCCACTTGGGCTTCCTGACCAGTGAGCATCCTGGTCACCCCACCTGGGTCATGGGCTCAGCAGCTGCCCACTGGGTCTGTCTGGGGTGACCCCTGTCAGCCCCTCCCATGGCAGCCCATGGACCATCTGGACGTGTGGTGCAGGGTTGGCGAGAGGCTGGGGGCAGGCACCGCCAGAGGAACAAGGCAGGCAAGGGGTGCCCCTGGGGACCCCCAGAGGACAGGCAGGCCCATCAGGGAAGGTTAAGACCAGGCACGAGAATGGGTCTGCCAGGCCACCGGCCCCCAGGCTCAGCATCCTGCACCCTCAGGGCTCTGTCTCCAAAGGGAGTGTCCCTTAAACACTGACTCCCGGGACACTCTGCTGGAGCTTTGGGGGGCTGTGGGTGGGTTCGTGCCTGCCTCCTGAATGCACAAACTGCTGGAAGAGTCTACTGGGCTCTGTATAAATGCAAAGAAAAAAACCCAGGAAACCACATTTTATTATGAGGCTAAAAACCACTGAAAAGAGGTTTGCTTTGGAAACAGGAATATACTTCAGAGGGAGGACTGTTGGGTGTGTCATCTTAAGTTCTGTTGGGCAAACCTAAACTGAGCTCCTTTAAGGAGCTGTTAAGAACAGGAGTGTCCGGCCCGTCTCACCTGTCCCAAGAGTCTCAGCGTCAGTCGGGTCATTTGTTCCGCCACAGACGAGTCCAGCATGTCACAACCCTAGGAGAGGACGGTTGGGGCAGGTGAGCCGCAGCCGCCTCTCCCCGGTTATGTCTCTGCGGGAGGGAATGGCTCAGGAGCCCGGCTGCCTGGCGGGGCCTCAGTTTACCTCCTGGAAACCAGCCTCAGTGGCCCCCGAGAGCCCGCAGAAGAGGCCGCTCCCAGGCTGCAGAGTCCAGCAAGCGGCGGGGCTGCCTCGGTTGTCGCCGGGCTGCGGGGCGGGAGCGGTTGCCAGGTTCCCTTGGAGAGTCCTTCCCGAGCCCTGCAAACACTGGTCCCCAGGCGTGGCCAGGCGGGGCTGAGCGGGCAGGCGGAGGAGTGGGCAGGGCTGAAGCCAGAGGGCAGGGCCCAGACACGAGAGGCGGGCGCCTCGACCATGACCACCTGCGCCTACAGCGAGCGCCGCCCGGCCGGCTCGCGCGCAGAAATGTGACCGGGGTCTGCACGGCTGGGTGGGGGGCACAGGGTGCGGAGACCGCAGGACTCGGAGACGCAGGACGCAAGGACATAGGGTGCGGGGACCGCAGGACGCGGGGACGCAGGGTGCAGGGACGCCAGGCGCGGGGACGCAGGGACATAGGGTGCGAGGACCGCAGGACGCGGGGACGCAGGACGCAGGGACAGGGTGCGGGAACCGCAGGGCGCGGAGACGCAGGGACATAGGGTGCGGGGACCGCAGGACGCGGGGACGCAGGACGCAGGGACATAGGGTGCGGGGACCGCAGGACGCGGGGACGCAGGGCGCGGGGGCGCCCGCCCAGGCTTTTGGGGATGCTGCACCGCAGAGGGGAGGAGGCACGGGGCCGGAACGAGGGACACCTCGGTGGGACAGCCTTGCTGCCGCACTGGCCAGGGCTTCCCTCAGGGCAGGACTCAAGCAGGGACGCGGTGGTGCATTCGGTTGGGCTGTAACTTCCAGACCGAGGGACGGTCAGCCTGGCCCGGCCGGCGCCTAACGCGGAGTAGGGCGGGAAGGACCCGCGGCCGGGGGTCCTGGGGACCCGTGGGGAACTCTGTCACAGGGGCCGGAAAGGCGCCTTGGGGACGAGGAAGCGTCCCCGCGGGGAGCCCTGGGGACAGGGTCACAGGGGGAAGTGGGGGGGCCCCTGGGGACGAGGGGGGCATTGGCCGCTGCCCCTCCCCACGACTGACCAGGAACTTGCCCAGGCCAGCACCGCCCACACGCGGTGTTCACGGTTTTATACCTGCCACGGCCCTTCCGTGACCCGCGTGGGCCTGGAGGACCTAAGGCCACAGGGTCAAGCCTCCAGGGCACTCGGGGACCAGGCTGGCTTGGAGTTGCCTATCCTGTTGGTCCTGTAGGATCTGGTTTAATTCTCTTTTTTTTTTTTTTTGAGACAGAGTTTCGCTTTGTTGCCTAGGCTAGAGTGAGTGCCATGGCGTCAGCCTAGCTCACAGCAAACCTCAATCTCCTGGGCTCAAGGGATCCTTCTGTCTAGCTCCCTAGCTGCGATACAGGCGATGAGCCCCATGCCCGGCTAATTTTTTCTATATATATTAGTTGGCCAATTAGTTTCTTTCGTTATTAGTAGAGAGGGTCTCGCTCTTGCTCAGGCTGGTTTTGAACTTCCTGACTCGAGCAATCCACCCCGCCTCCGCCCCCGAGAGCTGGATTACGGTGTGAGCCACCGCGCCCGGCCCTGGGTTTACTTTTGACGTCCCCAAGTTCAACTACCCTTCACCTGAGACCTGGGCACGCGCACCTGCCTGGAGCCGGCGGGACTCCAGCAGCTGCAGTCCCAGGGTCCACACCAGCACACACAGCCCCATGTCTTAGACCCCAGCTCTCGTCCACACTCTCGGACCGTGACTGTGTTAGGAGACACTAAATAGGTCTGAGTGTGCACAAAAACCGGTTAATTTAGTTAAGCAACTCAAGGTAGCTAGGAGGTCACACCTGGTTGGTGCATGAACGTTCAAGTGGGCATAGATTTGTTAGACAGGGGTTTTTTTTTTCTTTAAATAGGCTTTTTTAGAACAGTTTTAGATTTACAGGAAAGTTGAGAAAATAGTACCTGAACAGTTCCTACTTACAGCTCCCCCTATTATGAACTTGTATATTAGTATACTACATTTGTTACAATTAATGAACCAATATCCAGACATTATTAAGGTCCATACTTTATTCAATTTCCTCAGTTTTTTGCCTAATGTCCCTAATGTGGTATCCCATCATGATAATCAGTGTCCCACATGACACGTGGTTGTCACGTATCCTTGGGCTCCTCTTGGCTGTGACAGCGCCTCAGCCTTGCCTTGTTTTTGATGACCTGGAGAGTTTTTTGTTTTGTTTTGTTTTTTTTTTGAGACAGAGTCTCGCTTGTTGCCCAGGCTAGAGTGAGTGCCTTGGCGTCAGCCTAGCTCACAGCAACCTCAAACTCCTGGGCTCAAGAGATCCTTCTGCCTCAGCCTCCCGAGTAGCTGGGACTACAGGCATGCGCCCCATGCCGGCTAATTTTTGTATATATGTTAGTTGGCAATTAATTTCTTTCTATTTATGTAGAGACGGGGTCTCGCTCTTGCTCAGGCTGGTTTTGAACTCCTGACCTCGAGCAATCTGCCGCGCTCGGCTCCCAAGAGCTAGGATTACAGGAGTGACCACCTCGCCCGCCCTGGAGAGTTTTGAAGGGCACTGGCAGATATTTTGTAGAATGTCCTGCAACTGAAACTTGTATGATGTTCTGTCATGGTTAGACTGGGCTTGCTGGTTTTGGAGATCACAGAGGTGAAATGCAACGGCTGTCACCTCCCGTATCAAAGGCACACACTGTCAAGGGACTCATCTCTGTGATGTGGACCTGGGCACCTGGCTGAGGTGAAGTCTGTCAGGTTCCTCCACCATAAAGTGGCACTTTGTCCTCTTTTCTTGCAGTCGGTTCTTTGGGGGCAGTCACTAAGCACAGCTCACACTTGAGGGTGGGGAGTTGTGCTCTCTCTTGAGGGCATGTACATAATGTGAAGCTTTTACTTATTTTTATTTTTTATCTGCATTCCTGATTCTCAGCATCTATGACAGATTTTTTTTTTTTTTTTGGAGAATCAATCTCTCTGTTGTTATTTACATTGATAATTTTTTTTTTTTTGAGACGAGTCTCGCTTGTTGCCCAGGCTAGAGTGAGTGCCGTGGCGTCAGCCTAGCTCACAGCAACCTCAAACTCCTGGCTCAAGAATCCTGCTGCCTCAGCCTCCCAGTAGCTGGACTACAGGCATGCGCCACCATGCCCGCTAATTATATATATATTAGTTGGCCAAATTAATCTTTTATTTATAGTATAAACGGGGTCTCGCTCCTGCTCAGGCTGGTTTCGAACTCCTGACCTCGAGCAATCCGCCCGCCTCAGCCTCCCAGAGTGCTAGGATTACAGGCGTGAGCCACCGCGCCCGGCTACATTGATAATTTTAACATATGACTTTTTGTTTTTCTTGAGACAGAGTCTCACTCTGTTGTCCGGGCTAGAGTGCCCGGACAACCTCAAACTCCTGGGCTCAAGCAATCCTTCTGCCTCAGCCTCCTGAGTAGCTACAGGGACTACAGGCATGTGCCAACATGCCTGGCTGATTTTTTCTATATATTTGTAGTTGTCCAGCTAATTTCTTTCTATTTATAGTAGAGATGGGGGTCTCACTATTGCTCAGGCTGGTTTCGAACTCCTGACCTCGAGCAATCCTCCTGCCTCAGCCTCCCAGAGTGCTAGGATTACAGGCATGAGCCACCATGCCCAGCCTATGACAACTTTTTATTTTTTTTTGTTTTTACAACTTTTTAATAGTTAAAAATAGATTGAAATAAGACTCAGGTCCAACATTTGCAGAGGCCCTCTTGAATGTCCATGGAAATGACTCTGGGGTTTCAAAACCCTGGAACACAGTTCCAACTGAAGAACTGGGCACATCACCCCCACCAAGTTTTAAATATATCATGTGAGATAAAGTAGCAAATGTAAGAAGCTGTGTGTGCTCCTTTCTGCTGCCAGTGTCATTTCACAAGCCCCTGACTCTGTGACAACGTGCATCTGTCCAGAAGGGTGCTTTGAAGACAAAATGGGATAGAGCACATGGTCCCACATCTCTTGCCTGAGTCACTATATTCCCTAATAGATAAACAGCCCTGCCTTGCCTTTCCCTACACATAAGACGACGTCTGATGGGGTTACCGATTATGCCTCTGAAATCGATAACCAGATGCACTGTCCTCTTACACTGAAACCTTGATGTGATTTGCATGTAATGAATCTCTACTGACTGTGAACTAAAACACCGTGTGGGAGCAGTCTGAAAGACTTCAGCTGGGCTGGGCTATAGTCCTCAGTAAGACTTCCGAATAAAACTACCTTTAATTCTTTAAAAGCTTGATTTCTTTTTTTTTTCTTCAGTCAACAACTATAAGACAAAAAAATTGAGAGATTCACAAAATCTGGGTCCCTGACTGCTCTTGCAAAGTCTGATCCTGGGGTCTGCCCAGTCCCCACGCCTCAGGCTGTTGTCTGCCTGACCCCTGAGCCACTGCCCCCCCACCCCCACCAATTGGGTGGTTGCTTGAACCACCCAATTCTACACCTGGGAACCAGGAGCCCTCTGGACTGGAGCTGCGACTGGAAACCCCACGCACTACATGAAGGGCTGTGGTCTGACTAGGCAGGAGGACGACCTTCTGGGATCAAGTTTCTGGGGCTTCCTGAAGGAGATTTAAGCTGTAGTTGCTCAGAACTGTGTCTTGCTGAGGTTGCAAGATAAGCTTGTATGAGTAAGGCGTCACTCTAGCGGTAAGAGAAGGTGTTAGTTACTGTTACTATTATTTAATCTGAGAGAAGGGAGCAAACAAACATTTTTTCTTGCAATAAACTGTATTCAAGTGAAGGCACATGAACAAGTGAACAGAATAAAAAGAAGCCCAGAAACCCTCTCTCATATCATCAAGGACAGACGTCTAGCACATTAAATGTAACGAGATAGTGGGGCTTACTTGAAGTAATATTTCAGAAAGGTGAGGCCTACCCAAGGTCACCCACCCCACCTTGGCTTTCATGCCACCTTCTCTGCAAGAGAAGACATCTGTGTAGGCACCTAAAGTACAGCACCAACCTACCAGCTTTACAACTCACATCTGTAGCAGAGGCGGGTTTTTATACGCATTTACACTTTTTCACAGGGAGAAACCAATTGAGGCACACCAGTTCAATGGTTTCCCACCCTCTCCTCCATAATTTGCAACTGAATGGAGCTCTGTCCCATTTCCAGACTCTAACCAGGGGGTTTGCTTTCCTCTTTTTAATAGCAAAGGGGGAGAGGCAGATTGTGCTGAGAACAGGTGAAGGGAGGCTGGGGATATTAAACCACTCAGACAAACATGCTTGCCGCTTGGGGCCTGTTGGGCACATCCACCCTCGCTGACACTGTGAGGGACACCTGCAAGGTGAGAAAACTTTGGATTAACATCAATAAGTCAGAGCTTAACTCCAAGGAGCTTGATTACACTAAAAGCATTTGACTGTTCATCAAAACTTTGGGTTATGAATTAAAACACTGCATTGTGCCCACATCTGGACATACAGGTTCAAGTAAAGTTTGAAGCTAAGAAACAATGATTTGAGACTTCAGGTTTCCGCACAGACCATGAATTCATAGCCAAAGCCACATTCCTTTTCTCTTTAAAAACATTTTTTTGATAGTTTTTTTTTTTTTTTTGGTAACAGACAAGGCCTCACTCTGTCGCTCAGGCTGAAATGCAGTGGCATCATCACAGCTCACTGCAGCCTCAAACTCCAGGGCTCATAGTGATTCTCCTGCCTCAGCTTCCCAAGTACCTGGAACTACAGGCAACACCACACCTGGCTGATTTTTCTATTTTTGTAGAGACGGAGTCTCGCTCTTGCGCAGGCTGGTCTCGAACTGCTGGTCTCCTGCCATTCTCCCGCCTTGGCCCCCCACAATCCTAGGATTACAGGAGTGAGCCACCTCGCCCAGCCTAGTTTTTAGAACAGTTTTAGGTTCACAGAAAGATTGAGTGGGAATACAACATGTTCCTTTTTAAGAACCACTTGCAATAATATATTTGGAATGATTCGCCCACACATTTCATTCTTGATCCGTTTCCACTTGAGAAGAGACAGCTTTTGCCTTTCACTGGACCGGCCCTCTCCTTCTCCGGTGGAGCACTGGGTGCAACGACTGTCACCTAAAGCGGCAACCTAGCTGCGCTTTATCCTCCGGAGACCGACAGACCGTGGCTGCAAGTCAGCCCTCCGGAGCCTCCGTCCTCGCGGTTCACGGAGGGGCCCGGCCGGAACAGACAGAAGCCCAGGCCTGCGACTGCGCCTACCCGCGGGCTCCGAGTGCCGCCGCCAGCACCGAAGCCCTCACCGCGCCTGCTCAGGGGGCCGCTCGCGGCAGAGCTGCGGGGACGGGGGCGACGGCCGTAGGCGGCCGTGGGCCCCCCTGTCCCTGCAATGCCGGGTGCCGCAGGGCCGCCGGCCCCGGGGCCACTAGTCAGTGACTCGGAGCAGTGCGGGAAGCGCAGCTGAAGCCCACGGAGGCAGCGACGCTGGGCGCGCCGCGGCCTGGGCGGGTTTTTGAAATAGGCCTACCACAGCGCGCGCCGAGGCCCGTGCGCCCCAGTCATTGGTCCTTGCGGAGGAGGCGGGCACATCACCGGCCAATTGGAGGACGGCAATAGGCCGGGGCGGTGATCCGCTCAGGTCGCGCGGTTCCGAGCGCGCGTGCGCGAATGCAGGCCCGCGGCCCTGATTGGCCGGTGAGTCGGGCGGGGCAGGCGCAGCTGCGTGACAGTTGCCGAGGGGGTCGAGCGAGCCCGGCGAAGGGGAGGGAGTGTAAACAGAGCGAAGGCGACGACGCGTTGGCCCGGCCGTCCCTAGGCGACCCGCGAGGAGTTCCAGAGGAAGATGGAAGCAGCTGAGTCAGAGCAGCGGCGCAGAAAGGTGGAGGCCGGGAGAGCGAAGGTAAACACAGTGCCTCCTCTCGCTGCTCCGGCGTGAAGTCCTAGGGCAGGCTCCGGTGCCCGCCACCGCACCCTGCCGGGAGTGTACGCAGTCGGGCTGGGGTCGCCGCCGAAGTCTCGGGGTTCGCGCGGGCTCCCGGGGCTTCTTGGTCGCCGCCATCATGAATCCACCGCCTTCAGCCTAGGCCCGCCCTCGCCGCGGCCCCAGCCAATCAGCGGCCTGGGCGCGCAGCGCCTCGCGGGGCGGGCCCGGCGCGGGGCAGGTCGGGGCGGGGCGGGGCGAGCCTGCGCCTGCGCAGTGGCCGGGTGGGCGTTGAGTATGGGCCCTGCGGGCCGCGCTGCCGGGGAAACCTGACGGCTTGTATCCCAGGGGCGGCCGCTCCTCCGGTCGCCGCGCACCCTTGGGCCGGGCTCTGCTCCGGGGCACGTGGCGCTGCAGAGCCGTCCTCAGGGCTGGTCTCCCTTTCAGATTTTCCTCTCACTTGGAATTCTGTCACGGTGTGACAGAGGGTCTCGCCCTGTCGCCCGGCTCGAGGGCAGTGGCGTCACCACGGCTCGCTGCAGCCCAGAACTCCCAGGCTCAAACGGTCCTCCTGCCTCAGCCTCTCCAGTGGCCGGTTTCTCTTACTCATTGTAGAGCCGGGGTCTCGCTATGTTGCCCAACTGGTCTCCAGGCTCTGGACTCAAGGTCACAGTGAGCCACCAGGCCTGGCTTGCGAGTTTTTGGCATGTGAGAAAGTCCTCTCGTGGTGCGCAGGAGCTGGCGGCACGTGCCCCGCTGTGGAGCGCCTCCCCGGGTGCCCCTCCAGGGTGCGGGCGCTGCGGTGGGCTCCGTGTGGCTTGGAGCCAGGTTTCTCTGAGGGAGCTTACATCACATCCTTCTGCCCCCCGTTTTTCAGTAAAGAAAATACGCCCCATTTGGCACTCACTATTCTCAGGACATACTGTCACACAGTGAGGGTGAGCCACATGAGCTTGTGTTTGAGGTCAAACGGTGCAACTTTCGGAATTTCATACTGATCAGTAAGCAGGTGTTTAGTGCTAGTTCCTTCCCTCGAGGAAACCACAGGGCCACCGCATTATAGAAAATAACTGGAGGAGTGAGACAGTGACAGGGACAGGCAGGTGACAGGCAGAGGCCAGAGTGGCCTCACTTAGGCTTCCCGTGGTGGTGAGACTTTTGACTGGGGTTTGAGAGAGAGGCCTGGCACATACGTGGGCCAGGAGGTGAAAGGGAACCCAAAGTTTAGCAGTTACTTTGTTCCCTGAGCTTGCTGGTTTGTAGCATTGAGGGTGAGGAAGGAACAAGATATCTTTTGCTGGGCAAGGTGGGTCAGAAGCCAGGTCTGTGCTGCAGAGAGAGAACTCTGCCACAGATGGTTGGATGTGATGGAGGATGGCATTAAAATAAATGAAGATGAGATTGTTTTTGATGGCAGTCTGTCCTTGAGAGCCTTTTTCTCATGAAATGGGCTTGTGTAATTTTCCTGTGTCACGTGAAATTGTGCACTTGTATTATTTACACAAATGTTTGTTAAATGCATTTGTTTTATAGCCACAGTTGTTATTTGAGGGAAGAGATGTCCCCCTGTGAAAAGCTGATGTTAGATCTCATACCTTTTGACTAAGGTGTCAGTGGGAGGTGGTGTGTGCACATAGTCTAAAACCTTGGATTTGAGGGACTGAACAGCTAGGTTGTGCTTTCTGATGGGCGACATTCTGTCTAGGTCCCTGGTGCTTTGGTGAGCTGTGTCGTGAAAAATAGAACATCCGATTTCATAAAGGAAGATGTTAGATTGACCTGGCTTAATTAATTTTTTGCTATTTCTGAACCTTGTCTCAGATTCTATGGTTAGCTAGGAAGTTTTGGCTGGGCTATATATTTCCTAGATTGGGGGAAGATAGGGGAAAGAAAGGAGAGGTTTAGCTTTTATATAATTTTAGACCTTCAATATGCCTTAAGCTATGAGTCTTTTAAATAGATGTTTTTTTAAAAGTTTTATTTTTCTGTTAACTGCAAAGGGCTAGAAAAGCAATTCTGCCCATTGGCTGTGTTGTTTTCTTTTGTCTGTATGGAGGCATAATTAGCAGTCCTCATTGTTAGATTCTTTGGATATAGTTCTGAACTTAGCCCTAGTGTCATCGATGTCTGTGACTAAGCAGTCTATTGGCCAGGTGTGGCTGAGTGGACTGAGTCAGCCCTAGGGCCTCATGTTCCCCACCAGTCTGTGGACCTTGTGGTTCTGTTATTTTTTTCTCACTTACCTTTGCCTTTACTACTTCTCTACGTTTTTGCGCAGCTTGCTCACTTCCGACAGAGAAAAGCAAAAGGTGACTGTGCGAATTCGGAGAAAAAGACGTCGAAGAGGAAGGGCTCGGCTGTCGATGCGCCTGTCCAGGAGGAGGGTCCGGTAGCCACCGACGATGACGACGGCACACGCGTTGTAGGAGGGGGTGTTTGCAAAAGCACGGCGTGTATCGACAGCCCTGATGGGGCAGGAGGGGCGTTTGCAGCTCAGGTAGATTTACTCAGTGTTGTGTTTTAACATTTTGCCAATCTTATAGTTATCAATAGCATAATTTACTAAAAGTGATCTTTGGTCTTGTTTTGCCTTTTAAAAGTGGGTCAAGAGGGTTTTATTTTACTTTACAAAAGGTGAGTCAATTTTTATTGTTTACCCTTAATAAATGTTTTATCTTTTTTATATGATTTTGAGAAATTTTGGATTGACTGCTTGAAGGCAAGTATCAGTTGCTTGCTTTGGTAGTGGAAGTTTTACAGCTGTGAGTTTTTTGTGTGGGGGTGTGTGTATCAACCCCTTTAACAGGTGTTTATGGGATACTTATAATATTTCTCTTTTTTGTTGTTGTTTTTTTGAGATAGAGTCTCAGTCTGTTGCCCTGGCTAGAGTGCCATGACATCAGCCTATCTCACAGCAACCTCAAACTCCTGGGCTCAAGCAATCCTCCTGCCTCAGCCTCCTGAGTAGCTGGGACTACAGGCATGTGGGACCATGCCCAACTAATTTTTTCTATATATTTTTAGTTGGCCAATTAATTTCTTTCTATTTTTAGTAGAGATGGGATCTAGCTCTTGCTCAGGCTGGTGTCCAACTCCTGATCTTGAGCAATCCTCCTGCCTCGGCCTCCCAGAGTGCTAGGATTATAGGCGTGAGCCACCATGCCCGGCCTGGATACTTATAATATTTCTTCACCTACTCTCAGGTGCACCTGTGTGTCATCTTTGTCCTTTGCCTTTTCCTTGGAGGCAGGATGAGGAGGGAAGGAGGGAAGATGTGTTGCTGGGGAAAATGGAGGCTGCTGCGTGAGACCTGTGAGCTTCACAGGGGTGTCCCCATGGGCAGCCGTGGCAGGTGTGTGGGCACTGAGGGTGCTGAGGGTGAAGGTCCTCATGGCCTCGCTGGCACCTCCAGCTCTGCTCTGGGTGGGCTCTCTTTGGGGCTTCTTTTTGTGTCAGTTATAACTGAGAGGCCTTGAATTTTGAGTATCCCTGCAGTGTGCAACAGGGCGGGTTTAGGTGTCTGGAAAACTAGTGGACAAGGCAGAATGTGGCTCAATGTCTTGATGTGTCCAGCTTGCTTGCTGGAAAAAAAATGGACTTGTTGTCGATGTATAAAATTTGTGATTTTCTGCCTACAAATCTGGAATTTTGCTTCTTTTGAAGAATTATAAGACCTTGCTATGGTGCTGCCTTAGTCTTGAGGAGCAGCTGCCCAGAGCTCTCTGGGGGCCACGTCTGTAGACCTGCCTATGTCCAGTTCACTGTCCCTCCACTCCTGTCGTCTGGCAGGCCTGGGGCTGATTGTCAGCTGCTGTTCGTCATTGTCCTCTCATCATTTCTCTTAGGGGAGAGCAGGTCTTCTGGGCTGTGTCTCATAGCTGAAAAAGTGAAAGCTGTGTTGGGAGGGCCAAGTGTTACTCCCAGTGGTTTTTCTCTGTATGTTTCCTGCCTGAGCTCTTTAAAGAGAAAAGCTCATGATGTATAATTAACATTTATTACTATTTTTTAAAACTTTCAAATCAGAGAAGTCTTTTTTTTTTTTTTTTTTTTGAGACAGAGTCTCGCTTTGTTGCCCAGGCTAGAGTGAGTGCCGTGGCGTCAGCCTAGCTCACAGCAACCTCAAACTCCTGGGCTCGAGTGATCCTTCTGCCTCAGCCTCCCGGGTAGCTGGGACTACAGGCATGCGCCACCATGCCCGGCTAATTTTTTGTATATATGTTAGTTGGCCAATTAATTTCTTTCTATTTATAGTAGAGACGGGGTCTCGCTCTTGCTCAGGCTGGTTTTGAACTCCTCACCTCGAGCAATCTGCCCGCCTCGGCCTCCCAAGAGCTAGGATTACAGGAGTGAGCCACCTCGCCCAGCCACCTGGAGAGTTTTGAAGGGCACTGGCAGGTATTTTGTAGAATGTCCTGCAACTGAAACTTGTATGATGTTCTGTCATGGTTAGACTGGGCTTGCTGGTTTTGGAGGATCACAGAGGTGAAATGCAATGGCTGTCACCTCCCGTATCAAAGGTACACACTGTCAAGGGACTCATCTCTGTGATGTGGACCTGGGCACCTGGCTGAGGTGAAGTCTGTCAGGTTCCTCCACCATAAAGTGGCACTTTGTCCTCTTTTCTTTGCAGTCGGTCTTCTTTGGGGGGCAGTCACTAAGCACAGCTCACACTTGAGGGGTGGGGAGTTGTGTTCTCTCTCCTTGAGGGCATGTACATAATGTGAAGCTTTTTACTTATTTTTATTTTTTATCTGCATTCCTGATTCTCAGCATCTATGACAGATTTTTTTTTTTTTTTTTGAGAATCAATCTCTCTGTTGTTATTTTACATTGATAATTTTTTTTTTTTTTCTTTTTTTGAGACAGAGTCTCGCTTGTTGCCCAGGCTAGAGTGAGTGCCGTGGCGTCAGCCTAGCTCACAGCAACCTCAAACTCCTGGGCTCAAGCGATCCTCCTGCCTCAGCCTCCCAAGTATCTGGGACTATAGGCATGTGCCACCATGCCCGGCTAATATTTTCTATATATATTAGTTGGCCAGTTAATTTCTTTCTACTTATAGTAGAGACGGGGTCTCGCTCTTGCTCAAGCTGGTTTCGAATTCCTGACCTCAAGCAATCGGCCCGCCTTGGCCTCCCAGAGTGCTAGGATTACAGACATGAGCCACCGCGCCCGACTAAATAAATGAATTTTAACTTCTCATTTTGAAATAATGCCAGACTTACAAAAATTTTGTGAAAACTAGCATAGAGTTCCTGTATACCCTTTACCTGGCTTCTTGAAATGTTAACATCATATAAAATCTTAGTACAGTTATCAAAGCCAGTTTTGGCTAACAGTGGAAATGCTGTGAGCTAATGGATGGGCCTGACACAGAGTTTTCCACCCTCTCACTGTTGCCCTTTTCTGGCCTGTGATTCTGTCTTGTGTTTCAGTGTTAGGGCTCCTTAGTCTCCTCCAATGTGGGACAGCTTTTCAGTCTTCCTTTGACACTTTTGGAGAGTACTAGCCAGTTATTTTGTAGACTACCTGTCCATTTTGCGACATAGCAAGACCCTGTCTCTACAAAAAATACTGAAAATTAGCCGAGCGTGGTGGTGGCACCTGTAGTCTCAGCTACTCAAGAGGCTGAGGTTTGCTGGTGTTTTCTCCTGGTTAAATTCAGGTTGTGTGTTTTGGCAAGAGCATCGTGTGGCAGTGATGATGTTCCCTGTTTGTTGCATCGCACAAGGGCACATGGTTATTGATGTTTGATAGATCTTTTTACTGGCGATGCTAACTTAGGTTACTACGGTGCCTGCCAGCTTTCTCCTGATAGAAAAATTACTATTTTTCCCTGGTAGTTAACAAGTATATTATGTAGAGATACTTAGAGACTCTGCAAATATCCTGTTTCTCATCATACATTCTTCCATTAATTTTAACTCTTATCTGTGATTCTTGCCTGAACAAATACCACTGTGGTGTGGTGTTGGCCAAATGATGACTTTATGTTTCCATCATTCCAGCTACATGCATTAATTGGCATTCTCCTGTAAGGACTGTTGCTTCTCCCTAATTTACTTAGTTATTCAGTTATTTATGCTGGTATGGACTTATGCTGGACTAACTATGGATGTTTATTCTGTGGGTTTTAATCCATCATATCAATATTTTATTTTGTTGCTGACATACATGGATTTGGGTGTTGGGAGCAACTTCAAATTGCCTTGTGTGCCCTTTCAACACACCCTTGTCATTTTCTGACTTCTGCCTTTCTGGCACCAACATTTTCCAGGCTTATTTTGTCCTTTCCCTGTGGCAGCCCTGGAATCAACCATTTCTTCAATGATCCCTGGTTCCTTTTAGTGGAGAATGGTCTTCAGAAATGAAGAGCTGGGTGCTAAGGTGTGCTTATTGTTGGGGTGTCATTGCTCCTAGGCTTTGCCAACAGAGCCAGGAAATATACACACATACATCTGTATCTGGTTTTTTTTTTCTCTCTGTATAGTGAAAACCATGTGTTCAGACTAATACCTTCAATTTTAAGCTCACAGCAAATTCAAATTCCTGAGCTTAAGAGATCCTCCTGCCTCATCCTCCTAAGTAGCTGGGCCTACAGGCATGTGCCACCGTGCCTGACTAATTTTTTAATATATATTTTTAGTTGGGCAATTCATTTCTTTCCATTTATAGTAGAGATGGGTCTCACTCTTGCTCAGGCTGGTTTCGAACTGACCTTGAGCAATCCACCTGCCTCGGCCACCCGGAGAGCTAGGATTACAGGCGTGAGCCACCACACCGGCCATAGAATTCATTCCAGGTTTTCCCTTTTCTTTAATTTGAACTCCTTTTTGATAGTGAGACACCTGGCCATCTTCATCTGTAATATATTTACATATTTGCTCAACCCTAAATACAAATTAGTTTCAGAATCGCTAACCCACATTCTTTGAAAGACAGATTTACTCAGAGTAAAATATTTTTGTATGGTTCTGTCTTTAGCATGAAGTGTGTAGTCAAAGTACTGTGCTTCTCAGTTAAGCTGTTTTTTTCCTTACCTCTTCAGTGTGGTCGTTCTATTCATCTGCAACACAGTTTCACTTGTTTTATAGTTTTATTCTATTTTGTTTCCTCATAAGTCTAGGTTGTAATTAATTTTATTTAATTATGTTTTGAGTAAATGAAACATTGCTATGTCTAAAAGTCAGAACTGTGCTGAGAATGTTGTTTCTTCCTTGTCCTTGTTCCTGTCCCCCTTTCTTTCCACCCACTCACACCCACCCCACCTCCTGTGATGGTCTCTTTAGTTTCTGGTTTATCCTTCCTGTATTTCTTTTTGCACAGGGAGTAAATAAATTCATGTGTGTATTACATGTTTCCTTTGTATGAGGAAGGTAGCGTACTATAGATAACCGTAGGCACTTGGGTTTGAAACTGTAACAATGTACCTTGAAATCATATCACTTCCAGATATCTTCCTCTCTCATATTTTTATAGCCCCATAATATTCCCTTGGTA